CATTTTTTGAGGCCAGCAAAATAGTGAGAGTAAAGACTTGAATCACTTATTTTGTTAATATGGAGATAGAAGACAACATTAGGAAAATCAACAAATTACATTAGTACTCTCATGACCCAACCAGCATTCTGTGGGTGTTTCCATTGGAGAAGACGAGCGAATGTACACACTCAGTAATGAGGGTCATGTTTTTACACTACTGCTTACTCTCACCATTTGTTCCACATGCTTCTTCATTCCCTGTACCTTAGTTTTAGTAAATAAAAATGTTTCAGATTTTCAGTGACTTATTTAAGCTAAGAAATTGTAGTACTTCACAATGAAATTATAAAAAACATCCTACCTAGTGACAAATATGGATTATTCTCTATGAAGACTTATTTATATCCAACATGTAGTTCATTTAGATACAATGTGTAGTTCATTTCAGCATATAAGTTATCTGGGTAACAGTCAGTCTTAAAAGAATCTAAGATTTTGCTGCCAGGCACGGTGACTCACACCTGTAATCCCAGAATTTTGGGAGGCTAAGGTGGGTGGATCACTTGAGGTCAAGAGTTTGAGACCAGCCTGGCCAACATGGTGAAACCCTGTCTCGACTAAAAATACAAAAATTAGCAGGGCATGGTGGTGCACGGCTGAGTTCCCAGCTATTCCGGAGGCTGAGGCAAGAGAATTGCTTGAACCTGGGAGGTGGAGGTTGCAGTGAGCTGAGACTGTGCCATTGCACTCTAGCCTGAGTGACAAAATGAGACTCCATCTCAAAAAAAAAAAAAAAGAATCTAAGATTTTGCTTCCTAACTGGACTTAAATTTACTGATTTACTAATTAAGTACATTTGATGTACTAATAATCAGTTTTTAATGGTGCTAATGTCATATAAATGTGACATTAACAAAAATTTTGTGAGGTTGAATGTTAGCTAAATATCTCTACATATTATTAAGAATCCAATAAAGGCTTTAATGAAGTCACATTTATAGCACTAGCTAATAGGAGACATGAAGTTCACAAGCTGGTCTTCTCTCATTGTTTCTTGGCCTATAAAAACCTGGTAGGGGTTTCATAGGATTTTGGCTACCTTTGTGTGATCTTACATGGCTGTGGACTTATTAAAGGATGCAAGTCTATGTTGTTTTCTGGAACACTTCTAATAGTTTTATTTTTGATTTGGTTTTTACCATTTTCCGTGATTTTCAAATTGAACTTTGGTTGACACAGAGTATCAGGTTCCTGGAAGCCAACTTTGACGTATGCCAGTATTAGACTTTCTCTTCCCAGGACTGACCAGCCCAAGTGAAGTGGTGCTCACATTGCGTCTCCCTTTGCCTAGTGAAGTCTTTGATAATATTGCAAACATGGGTTTTTTTTTCCTGAGACATATTTAATAATAGCACATTTATTGATCACCATGCTCTTAACCTTTTCTAGTTATAATTTTTCTTAGGTATTTTATTCCTTGTAAACATACTTGTATAGAGTGTTTCAGTGTTCAGAGCACTTTGAGAGATTCTTACTTGATTCTGACGATAGCCCTATGAGATGCACATGGTGTTATTTTGATTTTACAGAGTCTTAAGTGACTGGCCCAAGATCACATAGCCAACAAGCATGGAAATAGGGTGAAGAAACCAGTTTTTTCCAGTTCACGGTCCAATAATCTTTCTTAAAGCTAAATGGCACTCTATGTGTTAACATGACTAAAAACTTAGTTCTTTTATTCATGTGAAAGGTCTCCTATGTTGTAACAACTTCCTTGAATGCCACAGAATCGAATGAATTTATTTTGTGTCATTGTAGTGGATGTAGCTTCTGTGTTGGGGGGCAGATAATTGGTGGTATTCAGCCAGAAAACCAGTTTGTGTAACTTGGGATCTGAATTTTGGGATTTCTCACCTAGCAGAGCATTTGTACCTGTTCCAGCATCCATCTTCAATTCCAGGAAAACACGCATGATCCCTTATTGCTCAGTATTCACCTCATTCGGTGGCACAACTGTTTGCTACTTGGCAGTCTGTGCAGAAGTAAGGTCCAGAAATAATTTAGCAAGAGAGTTACTTACATAAAGACTGAGCGCTACATTGTTCTGTGTAAATGGTACAACATGACCTCACTGTGTTTTGTGTACATACTGTGCTAGCTCTACGAGTTGTCTACATCCGCCTAATCCACTCTTACTTATTTTTGAAGGAGTCGATTAATTCTCTTTGCCTGAAATTTGATAATTGTGTCATCACTGAGGTTATAACATTTTCATACATGAGCTACAGCTTTAAAAGTAGAATCCTTCTACACAGTCATTGGTAGGCAGTGTTCACTTTTTGTTTGGTAAATAACTGAAATTTTAAAATTCATTTTTAGGTTAGCCAATCCTACTTCCTAGATAGTAATGGAATATTTAAATTTGTCTTTGCCTTTCCCTAGATTCTGGTTTGACTTAACAATGATAAGATTGTTTATTCTTTGATTTGCTTAAAGTTACCATCAGGTTTCTACTTTCCCACAAGAACACGTGTTTGCATTTTTCCATCTGTAAGACAGTATGTTGCTTGGTTTACTTGGTATGCCTTTTTCTATTTGCACAAACCCTGACCTGAATACAAACTTGTATTTACACCATTCCCCTGACTCCTTCCAAATCAAAGTATTTATTGTCCAGGTAAAACATTTATGGTTAGTTATATAAGCTGGCTTATTTTTTTTCTTTGACTTTTTTTCTTTTTTTATTCGAAATAGCATCTCAGTCTGTTGTTTGAGCTGGTGTTTAGTTGTGCAATCACGCACGGCTCACTATAGCTTTGATCTGGGTTCAAGTGATTCTCCCACCTCAGCCTCTTGAGTAGCTGGGACTACAGGCATGCACCACCAGCCTGACTAATTTTTGTTATTTTTTGTTGAGATGGGGTCTCACCATGTTGCCCAGGCTGGTCTCAAACTCCTGGGCTCAAACCATCCTCCCACCTCAGCCTCCCAAAGTGCTGGGATTACAGGCATGAGCCACCATGCCCAGCCTGAATTTGAATCTTACTTAAACTCAAACAGCCTTAAGAAATCTGTGTGTGCTGGGCGCGGTGGCTCACGCCTGTAATCCCAGCACTTTGGAAGGCCGAGGCGGTGGATCACAAGGTCAAGAGATCGAGACCATCCTGGTCAACATGGTGAAACCCCGTCTCTACCAAAAATACAAAAAATTAGCTGGGCGTGGTGGCGTGTGCCTGTAATCCCAGCTACTCAGGAGGCTGAGGCAGGAGAATTGCCTGAACCCAGGAAGTGGAGGTTGCGGTGAGCCGAGATCGCGCCATTGCACTCCAGCCTGGGTAACAAGAGCGAAACTCCATCTCAAAAAAAAAAAAGAATCTGTGTAATGAATTTGTAGCTTTTTTTCTTTTTTTTTTGATACAGAATCTGGGACTAGAGGCAGGTAACACCATGCCTGGTTAATATTTTAATTTTTTGTAAAGACAGGGTCTCGCTGTGTTGCCCAGAGTGATCTTGAACTCCTGGCCCCAAGTGATCCTCTCTCCTCAGCCTCCCAAAGTGCTGGGTATAGAGGTGTGAGCCATTGTGCCTGGCCCTCCAAAATATTTTTACTTTCATTTAAGTTTGCCACTGATCTCCTATCCTTACTTTCCCTATGTCTCCTCAATCTTATCTTTATGGTAGTTTAAGAGAATCTAGACTGTTGTTTGCTTAACTGATAGCTCCCCTGGAAGCTATTACCAGTCACATCACTGCCTCACATTGAGTAGGACTTGAAGTTCATGAAACATCTTTCTTATGCTCATCTAACTAAAATGGATCCTTTGTGCTTTATCTTGATGTTCTTTTCTCTTATTTATTTGTATACTGCTTTATTACTCTATCACGTTAGTTGTCAAAGCTAGTAGTTAGTTCACATGTTGATTTTCTAGGCCTGTATCCTTATTAGTCTAAGGTGGGAGAAACAGAGGTAAAATTTCTAAATACCTACCTAAACTGGAAAGGAATAAGGAAAGGAATTAATTTAGTAGAATCTACCTTTCTATTTTTGACAAAATCAGGTTAAAACAAATTGGTTTTACACACACACAGACTTTTTTTATACGGAATTATTGCTGAGAATAGTGTAGTCCAACTTGACTCCATAACTTTTTGGGCTGCTTTATAATTATTAGCTAGTAAGTGTTTTTTATTTTAAATGCGACTATAAAATGTTGAAATTGATCTGGTGCCAGTGTCGTTCTTGTTAACATATCAATCTCTGTGTTTTATAGTCCTTTGAACATATTAACAAGGAAAAAGGAATGACTGGTAATATCAAATCTTACGGTTCTTCGTTATACAGTTTTAGAGATCTGTAAGTAGTTAGCTATAAAATATTTGGTTGGCAGTTGAGAATATTTTTTAAATTCTATAGACAAAAGTAATAAGATAAGGAGTAGGACTACCAGATATTTAAACATACTATAAAGTAACAGTATTGAAGCAGTATGGCAAAGGCCCCAGATTAGATGTGTAGATCATTGAAGACAAATAGAAATAAATGCTGTTATTTATATAAATCTGACATATGTTAAAAGAGGCACTGTTAAACAGTGAGTAATGAACTGATTATTTTAAAATGGGGTTGTAATAACCAGTTAGCAATTTTAAAGAAAAATGCATTTAGATCACTATCTATACCAGATACAACAAAAAGTAAATTTTTGATAAAGTATGGACAATTATATCATTGAAAATCTAGAAGATAAAAACACTGAATATAATTTCTCTGGAGTTCCTAAGCAATTGGAAAACTGGAAAAATAAGATAGTAAAATTGTGTTTTATTGTAACAAATTCACATTTGTTTTATTGTAACTATAGCTCTGTGAACATTACAGGAAAGCATGTCTATTCCACGTTCACAATCTGAAAATTAGTCTCATTTTTTTTTTTTTACATCAGCCGGAAACCATTTTCCTTCCAAACTAGCTAATGAAACACAGAATGCAATTCTTTGTCTAAAATTTTCTTCTGTAGGTGCATTGAAAACTATACAGGAGCTCGTTGTGAAGAGGTTTTTCTCCTAAGCTCCAGCATCCAAACTAAAAGTGACCTGTTTGCAGCTTTCATGGCCATAGCGGTCCTAGTGACACTTACCATCGGAGCCTTCTACTTCCTTTGCAGGTAACCGAAATAGAAACACGCTTTTGTGAAAAGTAATGCACAAAGTAGTTATTCCACTAAAGAATTAATAGGCCCTTTCGTTCTAGATATTTCCAGATACTGTATAATGCTTGGTTGTCTCTTTAATATAGTTTTTGTTATTAACATCATTTTTGAAAGCATCTCAATAGGCAGTCTCAATTTGTTCTTTGTTACTGTTGTCAATATTTAACTTATCTGAACTACTGAGGTAGAGCCATACTCACTATAGCAAATATGCCAAAGCACCTAAACATTTGGGTTAGCTGTGTTTAAAGTAAATTTTGTATGTGAAAAAAAAGGAAAGACTTATGCAATGCTGTACATGTTAGCTTAGACATGTGGTTAATGTGCAGGGTCAGCCATTTAGTGCCTACTGTGTGCTAGGCATAAAGAATACAATAATTAACAAAGCAGACATGTTTTCTAACTTTAGAGATATTTAAATCAATTTGGAGAGATAGACAAATAAATAGGCAATTAATTTGGGGAAACGGGTAACTCACAAGGCAGACAAAAGAAAAAACTAGTTGCATAAAGCAATTACATGCACCGAAGATTACTTTCATTCGTTTTGATCTTCAATTATTTTTGAAATTTTGTGAAAGTAAGGAAATACAGAATTTAGTAAGTTTAGGAGTCATTTGGCATAATTCATCATTAATATTCATTAAACTCACACTGTATTCTATCATAGATACTTGTGAAAATGGAGCTGAAGGTAATCATAAAAGAGATGCAAGTGGGCTAGAGAAGTTTATATACAAAGAAAGGTAACATGTAGGTAAAATAGTCTCTTGTTAGATCCTGATTTCGTAACTACTTTACATCAAGGAATAATTAAAAGTTGAGGAAACTGGGGTTTTTAAAAATATGTGGCATTAAATAGTTTATTCCAAAACATATCATTTAAACAATCCAATAGATTTTCTCAATTTTAGCATCCGACCACTTCAGATACAAAAATTTAAATACAAGCCCACTATATCAGATTGCATTTCCGAGGGATGGCCACAGGATATCTCTTATTCCCACATACTCTTCTGCAGTGTGACCTTGACACTCATCATCAAGAGGGAAAGTTTGTTGCTACAGAATCCTTGAATCTAGGCAGACACTGTGACTGCCTTGATCATAGAATATTGTGGAAATGATACTGTTCCGTTAAGGAAATCGCCTTTAAATACCATGGAAGTTTCCATCTCTTGCCACTCATACTTGGGATGCTCCCTCACAGAACCAGCCACCACGTTGTAAGAAGCCGAAACAGCAGGAGGAACCAGCCCCAACTGAACTTCCAGCCAACCGCCAGCATCAACCAGCCTTTTTAATGAGCCATCCCAGACACTCAGTTCATTGGAGCCTTTAGTTGACTCCTGACTTAACTGTCAGTTTACTGCAACCACACAGAGAACCCAAGTAAAAGATGGCCAGCTGTCAACCCACATAATCATGAGATGAACTTGTTTTATCCCCCAAGTTTGGAGAAGTATGTTATGCATAAGTAGATAACCAGAAGACCCATCTTTGGAATTAGGTCTATGCTTGACTTTAAATGTATCAATGTTTGGAAAGCTGAATGATGATCTATTCTTATTCTATCCCCCTAAACATTTTATCAGTCTAATATGCTAAGGGGAAGACCAATATCTACTTCCCTCATTAATCACTCTGGTGCCAGTTTGGTGATATAGTTTCCATCTGTTATTGATTGGATAATGAATTATGTTTAATTCATTATCCAGTTATGTTTAATTCATTATCATTAATATGTCAGGATAGTCTAGGTTTGGCTACAGTAACTACCAACCCTAATAGTTTAGTGGCTTAATAAACAAGATTATTTCTCACTTATTGTAGGTAATTATTATGGATTGGAGAGCAGGGCTTTGCTAATCATAGTCACTTAAGGACTCAAACCGTTGGAGCAACCCCACCTTGAGTGCTGCTGGTTGTCAAAGGGAAACATATATATACACACACATAGATGAATGAATGAAGTGGTGCTGAATACAAGAGAAAAGAGAAAAGAAACCTCCAATCACAAACATTATGTGGGTCTCCATCCTGAATTCACACTATCTGAATGTCTGGGGGTAAAAAGCCAAGCATATAAAATAATCCAGGCTGGTGATGTCTTCAGGTGGTTGACCGGAAACAAAATATGAATCAATTCTTGAAGAGCCTCCTCTCATCCTTTACCTTAAAAAGTGCCTCACGTTATGAAATGATTACCAAACATAGAAGGAAAGAGGCGCAATGAATTAGAACTAGCAGAAACAATAGGTAGTAGGATCAGATATTCAGAAATCTGTATTTATTGGAAGAATCGGCCACATGATGTAAAATATATACGTTTATTATGTATCAAAAAATGAGAGGCTTAGAAATAAGCAAATTTGGCAAAGACCCAAACAGATCTCCAACAAATCAAATATAATTTTTTAAAATTCAGTACATATCTTAGTTCAATACATTTTTAAAATTTAATGTATGTCTTTAAACAGCAGATTAAACACAATAAAATAATTAATTAATTGGAAAATAGGAAAAATTACCCAGAGGGCAATCCTCAGAGAAAAAGAAGTGGAAAATATTGAAGAGAAGTCAAGCAGCATGGTGACCAGAGTGTATGTGTCTAACTTATGCTTAATTGGAATTCCAGAAGAAAAGAGAGACGGGGGCAGAAGCAGCATTTGAAAAAGAGACTTTTTCGGCCGGGCGCGGTGGCTCGAGCCTGTAATCCCAGCACTTTGGGAGGCCGAGGCGGGTGGATCACGAGGTCGAGAGATCGAGACCATCCTGGTCAACATGGTGAAACCCCGTCTCTACTAAAAATACAAAAAATTAGCTGGGCATGGTGGCGCGTGCCTGTCATCCCAGCTACTCAGGAGGCTGAGGCAGGAGAATTGCCTGAACCCAGGAGGCGGAGGTTGCGGTGAGCCGAGATCGCGCCATTGCACTCCAGCCTGGGTAACAAGAGCGAAACTCCGTCTCAAAAAAAAAAAAAAAAGAAAAAAAGAAAAGAAAAAGAGACTTTTTCAGAGCTGATGAAAGTCACCCACAGATGTTAGAAGCCTAACAAATCTCAAGCAGGACAAATGAAAATAAATTTACACGTGGTGCAACGTAGCAATTACAAAACACCATTTCTAAAGACAACATCCCAGAAGTAGGAAAGAACGGCAGATTCCCATCAAAAATGCCACAATTAAGCCAGAAGCTTGACTTCTCGGTCAGAGGGAAGGAAAACTAGAGCACGGAGCGGCGAGATCGTCAGTGCACTGAGAGAAGACAGTGACCCCAAATTCCTGTGGCAGGAAGACATCTCTCAGGAATGAGGGTAAGATGAAGATAATCTTTGCTAAGCAAAATTTGGGAGCGTTATCCCTGCGTAAACCTTCTGCCTGAAGGGTATATGTCAGGGAAAAGGAAGTGGATCCTATATGGCTTGTGCAAAATGCAAGAAAGAACAGAGAAAGCTATTAATATGTGAATAAATCAGAACAAATATTATATAAGTTGTAACAATAAAATTGTCCTATGTATTTTTAAAAAGGAGTTAAAATGCATAATAACAAACAAGTTGAAAGGATTGTAATTAAAGTGAACCAAGGTCTTTATATGGGGGAGGATAACTATATGAGGTAATTTTGACCTTGATATTTTACCATGAATATTAAAATGTCTAGGGCAACACATAACAGAAATTCAAAGTGTATCATTTCCAAATTAGCAGAATGACAAACATCGAATTAAAAATAACCAACTAGTTAAAAATACATAAAAAAGAAAATTAAAAATTAGAAAACAGGATAAATAGAAAGCATGGCATGGATCTAGGCTGTTCTGTAGTGACCATGTGAAATGTATTTGTCTCTTGAAAATGTGGTGCTTTCAAGAATGAAATTGTTTTCTCTCATAGTTTTCAGTCCATTCGTGGTTGAAATTGCTTTAAACTGAGGGCCTTTTGAACTTTAGTGAGTAATTGGTGCCATCACTGAATGAGGTTCAAAATGATACCCCACTAATGCTAAAATCTAGGCTAGAATCAGTAGTGTTTCAGGAATAGAAGCAGTATGCTTTTAGAAAATACATACCATTTTGCAGTGGTAAAGTGGGTCTGAATTCATTTTCATTGATCTAAGCTAAAATTGCATATAGACATTGAAAAAATGCCATCACTGTACATGCCCAAATCATCACATAAATTATAACCTATATTCATTGATCAAATGACTGAAAAACCTGATGTACTGTTACCTTGAAAATGTCCAAAATGTCTTTTAAAAATGCCATTACTAGAATAACTGACTAAAGCCACCCCATGTCACATAAGGGTCCCAACTGCAAATGAAAGCTAACCTTTTTAAAAAGGGCACGAAAATAACACTAAGATACGACAGCTTTGCTGCTGTCTCAAAAAGTCCAGGTCATCAGCACCTGAAGTCCCCACAGATGACCTGTGGGTACTAATGGATTTGTTAAATCATGGGGAACAGTTTTAAAGCAGCCCTGACCACGTCAGGTAGTTGTGGAAGGAAAATGAACCTTCAAATAGTCAAGCTATACTTTCATTTGAATGCCATGATGTGTTGTAAAAAGGGGGAATAAAGAGAAATTTAAAAAAAAAAAAAAGTTCTTTCTAAGTCTTCTGGCAATGCTTTTCCTAGCACTCATTTTCCGTTTCTGTGTCTCTCCTCTTTATTGTCAGGAAGGGCCCCTTTCAGAGAGCAGGTTCAGTCCAGTATGATATCAGCCTGGTGGAGATGAGCGGGACCAACGCCCACCACAGTGAGTAAACTCAAAGCGAATGCTTGTTTTAAAACCCTAGATGAGACTGTTGTTGTTACCCGTAGGGATGTGGATGTAGATCTATCCAGAAGAAAAAGGTTGATCCTGAAATTTTTTTATGGGTTTTTTTTTTTTTTTTTTTTTTGCCAGATACCGTCTTTCACATAAAAATGAACTTATTATCAGTATGACATAAATCACATTTTTTCCCCAAGCAAAATAATGTTATCTCAATATGCGAAATTCTGGTGTTAGCTCTAATGTGCCACACAGATAGAAGGTAGTAGTTTCTCAGGAATATTTTGAAGTGAGCTAGCATATGGGGAGGAGGAAGAGTTTCACCTGTAAAGATCAGCAAATCTTTGGAAAACTTGTAGACAAATTGATGTTTAAAATTGTCTTGAGACTTCTTGCCAAGATGGAGTAACAGGCACTGGATTTACTTCCTTCTACTTAAAACAACAAAAAATGGACAAAATCTACGAAACAGTGGTTTTGAAGGCACTGCTATCAGGCAGCAAAGGAACCAGGAGCCCTGAGACATGGAAAACAGACTAGGTGAGCCAATGATTGCCTTGGATTACTGGCTGGAGAGAGTTTCCAGGCTTTTGTGCAAGGTGGCAAACCCCAGGCTGAGTCTGGCAGACTGTGAGTTGATGGAGCTGAGAGTTGGAACAGATCAAGGTGACTATATTATACTGAAGAGTCCTGGGAAAAAGAGAGCTGTATGAAGAGAGAACTCCAGAGATCTTCAGTTCAAGGATTCAGCTGAATACTAACCATGGCATGTGTGGGAGGAAAATACTTGAGGGTGTGGGAAAAAAAATCACCTGAAAGGATGAGAGGTGCCCAGTATTCACAAGTGCCAGGAAACGTGTCTGTTCCCACCGAGACTGAGAAGCTCACTGTTCATGGGGCACTGGGTAGAGCACACAGAAGGTGTCTCTCTGATAGTGGGGAATAACTAGCCCTAAGTGAAGCACTGCTCCAGTCCGGCCTACTAAACTGTAAAAGCATGAGCTGACAGTATAAAATTGTTTCCAAATAACTACATCCCAGATCAAATCGCAGCAATGCTAAAAACAGCTAGTACCCGACAGGTGAAATTAATAATGTTTCACATCCAGTAAAATTACCAGCCTCCAAAGAAGCAGCAAATGTGCTCAAAATGAGAAATATTAAGAAACTGAAGGTGGGGCATGGTGGCTCATGCCTATAATCCCAACACTTTGGGAGGCCGAGGCAGGTGGATCACTTGAGGTCAGGAGTTCAAACCAGCCTGGCCAACATGGTGAAACCCCATCTCTACTAGAATACAGGAAAAAAAAATTAGCCAGTGCTGGGTGCCTGTAATCCCAGCTACTCTGGAGCTAAGGCAGAAGAATTGATTGAACCGGGAGGCAGAGGTTGCAGTGAGCCGTGATTGCGCCTCTGCACTCCAGCCTGGGTGACAGAACAAGACTCCATCTAAAAAAAAAAAAAAAAAAAAAAAAAATTGAAACTGATGTTAGAAATGCCAGGCAAGCATAGTTATCATAAATGTATTACATAGATTCAAAAGTTAAGTAGAAACTACGGAAGATGTATTTTTTAAAGGGTCCAAATCGAACTTTCAGAGATGAAGACTGGTCTGGGATAAACACACACACACACACACACACCCCAAAAAACAAAACAAAAAAACACTGGATGGTATTTGTTAATACCACACCATAGAAAATGGTATTACCTACCATAGAAAATATTGGTGAACTTGAAGATATAGCAATATAAACTGTGAAAAAAAAACACAGAAAGAAAATTTTTTAGATGAAAAGACCATCAGTGAGCTGTGACAACTGCAGGTGGCATAATATTGGGTTAATTGGAGTCCCTGAAGGAGATAAGAGAGAAGAGGGAAAAGAACAAATATTTGAAGAAATGAGAGTCAACAATTTTTCTAGATTTAATAAAAACAGTCAGTTCACACATATAAGAAGTTCACCAAAGGTCTGGCACTCTGACTCACACCTGTAATCCCAGCATTTTGGGAGGCTGAGGCAGGAGGATCACTTGAAACAAGGAGTTTGAGACCAGCCTGGGAAACACAGTGAGATCCCATTTCTACAAAAAAGAAACAAAATTAGCTGGGCACGATGGAGTCTATCTGTAGTCCCAGCTACTTGGGAGGTGGGAGAATCACTTGAGCCCAGGAGGTCAAGGCTACAGTGAGGTGAGACTGTGCCACCGCACTCCAGCCTGAGTGACAGAGTAATACACCAAGACATATCATAACCAAGTTGCTCAAACCAGTGATAAAGTCTTAAAGGCAGCTAGGAAAAGACACATTCCAGACAGAGAAACAAAGCTAAGGATTTCAGCAAGCATTTTTCAGAATAACACACCTTAAAAGAGTGGAGCAATATATATAATGTATTTTAAAAGGTAAACCTATAATTCTGCATCAGCAAAAATATCTTTCAAACACAGGCAAAATAGGCAAATCAATCTTGGAAAAGATGAACAAGGTTTTGCCTATTTCTTTTCACACTTCCTAATTCCTAAACTTACTATGAAGCTGCAGTAATCAATGTAGTACTGGCATAAGGATAAACACATAGATGAATACAATTGAGAATTCAGATGTACCTCCTTACATTTATAGTCAATGCATTTTTAAAGGGTGCAAGACAATTCAGTGGGGGGTAATAATAGTCTTTTCAACAAATAGTGCTGGAAAAACTGGAAATCCACTCACAAAAGAATGGATTTAAACACCTACTTCATACCATATATTAAAATTAACTCAAAATGGATCAAAGATCGAAATGTAAGAGCTAAAGCTATATAACTCTGAAGAGAAAACACAGGTGTAAATCCTCATGACCTTGAATTAGGCAATGGATTCTGAGATCTCCTAAAAATACAAGCAAAAAGAAAAATGCATAAACTGGATTCATTAACATTAAAAACGAAAAAAAACTTTTGTGCTTCAAAGGTTACCTTCAAGAAAGTGAAAAGACAATCTACTTCTGAGAGAAAAAATTTCTTAAATCATACGTATAAGACCTCTCATACGTACGATTTGAAATACATATATGTATTTGCATATATAAATAACATTTACAACTTATTTAAGAAATGAGCGAATGATTGGAAAAGAGTTCTCCAAATAATATGTACAAATGACTAGTAATCCCATGAAAAGACAATCATCATTAGCCAGCATGAAAATGACGATCGAAACCACAATGTAACCGAGCGTGCTGCGTACTGTTATAGTCCCAGCTATTAGGAGGCTGAGGTGGAGGATCGCTTGAGCCCGGGAGTTTGAGGCCAGCCTGGGCAACATAACCAAGACCCCATTTCTAAAAATAACACAAACTTCAGGGAGGGTGAAAAAAAATGTACATGAATGTTCATAGCACATAGCAGCATTATTCATAATAGCCAAAAAAGTAGAAATTTATCAAATGTCCATCAGCTGATAAATGGATAAATAAAATGTGCTATATTCCTACTATGGAATATTATTTGGCAGGAAATAGAAATGAAGTCGTAATATATGCTGGAACATGGATGGACTTTGAAAACAATATGCTGAAGTAAAAGAAGCCAGTCATAAAGGAACACATATTTTATGATAACATTTGTATGAAATGCCAGAGCAGGGAAATCTATAGAGACAGACCGTAGATTAACGTTTGCCAAGGGTTGGAGGAAATGGGGGGATACTGGGGAGTAAAGGCTTAAGGGACAGTGGGCTTGCTTTTTGGGAATGAAGGAGTCATCAAATTGATTGTGCTGATAGTTGTACAACTCCGAATATACTAAAAGCTACTGAATCATACAGTTTAAATGAGTGAATTGTATATGAATTATATCTCAAAGCCATAAAAAAATCAGTAAACTAACTGTTTAGAAAAAATGAAGGCAAAGTAGAGATTTTCTAGGCATATGAAAGCTGAAAGAATTTATCATCACCAGAACCACACTAAGTAAATGTTAAAGGAAGACCTTCAGGCAAAAGGACAGTATCAGATGGAAATATGGATAGACACCAGCAATGACAACTACGTGGAAATTGACAATTTAATGAACAATCTTAACGACATAGTATGGGACTTACAACATACAGAAAAGCAAAACATATAATAAGAAAATACAAAGCTTGGGAAGGTAGCAAGAGAAACACCCCCCTGTAAGGTTCTTATGCTAAATGTCAAGCAGTATATCATCACTTGAAGGGAAACTGTGATAAGTCAAAAATGTATGCTAGAAACTCTAGAGCAACTTGTAAAAAGTCCAAATCACCCAGTTAATATAGAGTTTATACAACTGAAAAAAATTAATGTGATATGCTATCTAAAAGAAATATACTTTAAGTATAAAAACACAAAGAGGTTAAAAGTAAAAGGATGAATAAAGATACTATCACAGGCACGGTGGCTCATGCCTTGAGGTCACAAGTTCGAGATCAGCCTGGCCAACATGGCAAAACCCCGTCTCTACTAAAAATACAAAAATTAGCTGGGTATGGTGGCAGGCACCTGTAATCCCAGCTATTTGGGAGGCTGAGGCAGGAGAATCGCTTGAACCCAGGAGGCAGAGGTTGCAGTGAAGCTGAGATCGAGCCACTGTACTCCAACCTGGGCCACAGGCTGAGACTTCATCTCAACAAAAAGAAGAAAGAAAGAAGAAAGAGGAAGAAAGAAAGAAAAAGAAGAAAGAAAAGAAAGAAAGAAAGAAAGGAAGAAAGGAAGAAAAGAAAGAGAAAGCTCACCCAGATCAAACTCCTTTTTATGAAATATTCTCGGAAAATCTAGAAGATAATGTCTCCGAGATTTTAAAATTCTTAGCATTACAGGCTGAAGAAATCATGATGTGGTGATATACTTTAGTGACAGCTGTGCAAGAAAAATTAAATGAAACAAAAACCAAAATGGAGGAAGACATGTATCTAGCATCTAAAAAGAACTCTTTCACATCAATAATAAAAAGTCAATCCAATTAAAATTTGGGCAAGAAAAAAGCAGAAGAAGCCATAGAGCAATTATTCCATGGCATTCCTGTTTACAATTCAGCATTTCTTAAGGGGGGAAGCCATGTTTGATGCAGAACTCTTTGAAATCAAAAAGAACCAAATGAAAGAATAAGCAAGAAAAAATAAGTGGGAAACAGCTACTTGAAACAGATCTAAATCTTGACACATCCGATATCCAGTTCTTGGGAGGATGCTGGAAACAACGTCGGGTTAACTGAGTCTTTGTTCCAGGAAATGGGTGACCTGGGACTGGGGGATGAGGAGATGATCCAGACTCCAATCCTGCTGACCCAGAAATGACTCCACTGACCAGAGGACTGTCCCCATCTGCAGGGAGTCTCAGCTGCCACAGCAGCATGGCTAAGCTCAGAGGGCTTTGATTTTCCTTTCCTTTTCTCCAAGAAGAAATAACTTTGAGAATATTCTTCTGTTAGATTTAATCATTCAACTTAATAAACTTACCTTAAAATTTTAAAAAGTCAATTGTATTCCTATATATCAATAACAATTAGATACGGAAATTTGGTACGGAATGATCATTTACAATATAATCTCAATATATTAAGTACATAGGAATACATCAGACAAAAATATGAAAGACCTATACAGTGAAAACTAAAAAAAAAATTGCTGAGAGAAACGAAGACCTAAATAAATGGAGAGTTATATTTTGTTCATAGATTTTGAAGATTTAATATTATAAGATGTCAGTTCTCAAATTGACCTATATAGATGCAATGCCATCCCCGACAATATCTCAAAGGTGTTTTTGTAAAAATTGACAAGGTGATTCTGAAATTCCCAACGACATGCAAAGGTCCTAGAATAGAGAAAATCGTTTTGAAAAAGAAGAGCAAAGTTGGAAGCCTCATACTGTCTGATTTCCTGACTTAACTATAAAGCTACAATAATCAAGACAACATGGTACTGGTATCCAGATAGACCACAACTGATTTTTTACAAAGCTGCCAAGGCAATTCAATATAGAAAGGATAGTCTTTCCGACAAATGATGCAGGGGAGTTTGGATATTCACATGCAAAAACATGAATTCAGACGCTTTACCGTAGACCAAAAAAAAAAAAAAAAAAAAACTCAAAATGTATCTAAATATAAGAGCTAAAACTATAAAACTATTATAAGAAAACATTAGAGAAAGTCTTTGTGACATTGAATTAGGCAAAGATTTTTAGATACAAAAAGCGCGGTTGGGCTGGGCACAGTGGCTCATGCCTGTAATCCCAGCGCTTTGGGAGGCCAAGGCAGGTGAATCACCTGAGGTCAGGAGTGCGATACCAGCCTGGCCAACATGGCGAAACCCCGTCTCTACTAAAAATACAAAAATTAGCTGGGCCTGGTGGCAGGCGCCTGTAATCCCAGCTACCTACCCTGGAGGCTAAGGCAGGAGAATCCCTTGAACCCAGGAGGTGGAGGTTGCAGTGAGCCAAGATCGTGCCACTGCACTCTAGCCTAGACAACAGAGTGAGATTCTCTCTTAAGAAAAAAAAGAAGAAAAAAAAGAAAGAAAGAAAAAGAAATTCTCAGAGAACGGAGATTTTAGATGATCATGGTGTTAACTGGAAAGGTTAACGCTAGGGGCCAAATCTGATAGAAGCAAGTTTGGAAATAGTATCCTGCCATTAGATCTTGAATGCACAAGCATCCATGCTTGTAATTCATCAACAGCATTTTCCCCAAAAGGTTTGCCTCTTGATTTTTTTATTTTCCCCAGAATGTTCAGTGGTATGGCAAAGACTTTTTTTTTTTTTTAGAAACCACACACATATAAAACAGCTTTTGACTCCTTTCTGTTTATAAAGACATATTTGCGCATATTTTATATATATATATATATTTGTGTTATATGTATATATGGCCATGCAGCCTCTCCACACATATACATATGCTCTGGTTAACTGGAGAGTTTTGGAACTCGACTATTACTATTTTTTTTTTTAATAGAAAAAGACATAATAACAAAGCTTAAAAATTGGGCTAAAGTATTAGGCTTAGCTCACAAAATTAGCTCATTTGACCAAACATTTTTTCAAGGATTGAACAGTCTCAGTCAATAAATGCAAGGCCATAACTATAAGCAAACAACAACCCCCACCACACACACACACACACACACACACACACACACACACACACACGCCTTTTACTAAATGTGATATGTGTCATGCAAATAAAGTTAGATTATCTGATGAGGAGAGTTGATGGTGAAGACTGGGAGTTACTTAAAAATGTCAACTCATTATGAAAATCATAGCGTAAATATACGTCATATTTTAAAACGTACTAAAGACCTTCCTTCACCAAGGGTGTCCTCCCGCCACCACACCATCAAGCCTTATTTCATTGCTAGGTTTACTTCACTGTCGCCTTGTGCGCCTCTGGAATGTAATCCTCCCTGGGTAACCTTTCCCATTTATTCCGAGCAATCCACAGCCTAAAGTCTTAGCATGCATTTGTACTGGCTATAGACCGCCCATACTACAATAATGCCCTAAAGCTGACAACACAACTCTCCAAGTAGAAAGCAGTGTAACAGTATTAATCATGCGGCCGGGCACGGTGGCTCAAGCCTGTCATCCCTAGCACTTTGGGAGGCCGAGGCGGGTGGATCACGAGGTCGAGAGATCGAGACCATCCTGGCCAACATGGTGAAACCCCGTCTCTACTAAAAATATACAAAAACCTAGCTGGGCAGTGGTGGCGCGTGCCTGTAATCCCAGCTACTCAGGAGGCTGAAGGCAGGAGAATTGCCTGAACCCAGGAGGCGGAGGTTGCGGTGAGCCGAGATCGTGCCATTGCACTCCAGCCTGGGTAACAAGAGCGAAACTCCGTCTAAAAAAAAAAAAAAAAAAAAAAAAAAAAAAAATATTAATCATGCACATTACATGCCTATGTGTGCCAGGCACTGTGGTTAATATTTCAAATCTCTTAACCCCCCATAAGTCTTAACAACTGCATGGGATAGGTGGTGTTTTTCTCACTTTACAATGAGAAAACAGGTTTGGGGACCTTAAACTCATGTTTTTCTTACTGCACTTCGGTTCCACAGATGTGGGTGATAGTCTCAGGGCTTATTGGCTGCAGAGGGAGTTTGTGTCTCAATACAGGTAGTGCTCGACTTACAACCACGGTCGGGACCGCAGCATGGTCGTAACACGATTTGGTTAAGGTTGAGTAGCCTCTATGTACAGTTGAGATGGTGCACGCGGAGACTGGTGGTGCTGCCGGAAGCTGGTCCGCCCTGTCGTGTGCCCAGCTGGGCAACGTTTGCGCTGCCAGACGCGGAGCAGTCGTGGCTAGCGATTGTGGTCGTAAAGTCAAATGGTCGGAAGTTGCATAGGTCGTAAGTCGATCAATACCTGTAGTCCCAATTAGCCACAGGTTTTATTGGTCTTTCTGTTTCCTTGGTATTTTCTAGCCATCTATTACTACTGTCATTGCTGTTAACAGTGACTCACTCTAGCAATCTTTTCCCCTCAACCACCCTTTCCTAACTTGTAATATCTCAGAAAGGTCACCAGCCTTGTTTAGAACTTTGGGTAAAAGAGGCATTGAGCAAAGGCGGTGGTGATAGTGGTGGTGGCGGTAGAAGGGTTGGGACTTGAATGGGGAATCTGACGTTTTGAGGAGTCTTATAGGACAGGGTGCTGGAAATTTTCGATATTCTAGGTTAGTTTACCTCAACACGTCCTATGACAAACACAAGGGGTTGGCTTATGTATGTGAATAAGATGAGAGAGACATGTAGGTAGGTGTGCATATAAAGAAAAATCGCTGTGGAGAAAGCATCTTAATTCTTGTTTTTCATAGATCATGGAGAACACTGAAGAAATGGCAAAGTGAACCAAATCATTGCTTTTATTTTACAAAGGCAGAAAATGAAACACCGTTAGGTAAAAGAAAAATGTAATCCTTTATTTCCTAAATGAAATGCTTGTGTAACCTGTCGTATCATGAACCTGTCATAATCCACTCTGCTGCAAGGCTGTGTGTGCTTTCGTAATTGCGTCAGCCCATCAGCAATGGCTAAGTAGGGGATACCAGCATAATTCGGAAGTCACATTGGCTCAACATGACTCTCCCCGGAAAGCTGATGTGCTGAAGCAACCAGAGACAAATGTTCACACACCCAGAGAGAAACCCTAAGGGATAGATGAAAAGCTTATGAAAAAGGATGAAAATCCTTTAAGTGCAAGGAGTAGCTGGCTTAGGGGCCTTCAAAACGACCTCATTCTTGCTCTGTTGATGTATCTGAGAAGCTGCAAGTACAGATGAAAACACTGAGAAGACGTTTCACCTGGCAATTAGAAAAAAGCACTGACTGGCTGGGCGTGGTGGCTCATGCCTATAATCCCAGCACTTTGGGAGGCTGAGGCGGGTGGATCATGAGGTCAGGAGTTCGAGACCAGCCTGGCCAAAATGATGAAACCTTGTCTCTACTAAAAATACAAAATTAGCCAGGCATGGTGGCAAGTGCCTGTAATCCCAGCTACTTGGGAGGCTGATTCAGAATGGCTTAAACCCAGGAGGCAGAAGTTGCAGTGAACCAAGACAACGCCACTGCACTCCAGCCTGAGTGACAGAGCAAGACTCCAACTAAAAAAAGGGGGGGGGGGCACTGACTGATGGATACCTCTGTATCATTCTTTCAATACTGATGAAAATGCTTTCTACTAGAAGTGATTGATTTCAAGGATCTGTCTCTCAAAGGAAGAAATAAAACCCCAGAAGTTTAAGACTGCAAAAGATGGACTAATTCTAGGTGCAAACGCCAGTGGAAATTTAGGATTGTTACTGTACTACACAGGTTACAAAGTTCCAAATCTATTTTCCTTGTAATTTTTAGTGCATGATTTTGCAGAATGCAGTTTTCATCTTTTTAGGTGCAACATTAAGAACTGGTTCAGTCAGAACAATTTTTAGTTTCTCCAGTTTTTTCTACCCGAGTTACATGGGAAAAAAAGAAAAGAAAAAAAAAAAGCAATCGTAACTTGAAGAAAGTGTGAAAACAAAAGTCTTGAAGCAGTGGGAAGGTCTGGGGCTGGTAAATGGCTTAGGCAGAGGCGTATGTACCGGCCGAACGTAACAGCCCATCTCTGAACTATGTCCTCTGTCAAGGCTGTGGATGCTTCTCCACACGTCCTGGCCCAGTGTAGGCACTGTGAATTCCTGTCACTAGTGTCACTGATTCATCTATCACCCATTATTCATTCATTTAACAAACACATTAGGACGAGACCCTGAGACAGAGTATACAAAATGAAAAGCGCTTACATAATTTTAATTAATAGATTTTATTGTTAGAAGTTTTAGATCTTCAGAAAAACTGAGCAGGATAGTACCGAGTTCCCCTATGTTCCTCCCCTGCCAAGCCCCGGTCCCAGGCCCTTATTATTAACATCTTGCACTAGTGTGGCATATGTGTTTAACCAGTATTGGCACATTTTTATTTTTTGAGACAAGGTCTCACTGTCACCCAGGGTAGTGGAAGCCTATGGTTTACGTGAAGGGTCCTCTTTTTGTTGTATGGCTTTATGGATTTTGACCAATATATAATGTCATGGATCCACTACTTATTATTTTTTTGAGATGGAGTCTTGCTGTTGCCCAGGCTGGGGTACAGTGGTGCCATCTCGGCTCACTGCAACCTCCACCTCCCAGGCTCGAGCCATTCTTCTGCCTCAGCCTCCTGAGTAGCTAGGATTACAAACGCATGCCACCAGTGCCCAACTAATTTTTTCTATTTTTAGTAGAGATGGAGTTTCACCGTGTTAGCCAGGCTCTCTGGACCTCAGGTGATCCACTTGCCTCAGCCTCCCAAAGTGCTGGGGTTACAGGTGTGAGCCACTGCACCCAGCCATGTATCCACTATTACAGTATTGTATACAGTACTTCCACTGCCCTAAAAATCTCTATTCCATGTACTTACCCCTCCCTCTCTCCCACTGAATCTCTGGCAACCACTAACGGCTTTACTTTCTCCAGAATGTCATACATTTGAAATCATACAGTGTGTCGCTTTTCAGAATGACTTCACTTAACAATATACATTGAAGGTTCCTCTAAATGTCTTGTGACTAAATACCCCAATCCCTCTTAAAACAGCTAGGCCGTATGATTTTGGGGGGTGGCTTAAACATTTACTTTGGCAAAATATACATAAGATCTAATTTTAACCATTTTGAGTTTAGAGGCATTAAGTACACTCATTGCATGTACCAATCACCACTATGCACCTCTGGAAAATTTTCATGATCCCACACTCATCTGTGTCCCTTAAACAATAAATTCCCATTTCCTCCTGTTCCCAGTGACAAAACAATAACATTTGTTCTACTTTGTCTTTACGAATCTCACTACTCCAGGCACCTAAGTGGATTCATAAAGTATTGTGATTTACTTCACTTAGTGTCTTGTTCATCCATGATGTAGTATGTAGCAGAATTTCCTTTGTATGGCTGAATACTACTCCATTGTGTAGATGTAACACATTTTGCCTATGCATTCATCTGTTAGACATCTGGGTTGTTTCTACCTTTTGACTACTGTGAATAATGCTGCAATGAACATTGGTATACAAATATACCCTCAAGCCCCTGCTTTCAATTACTTTGTGCATATACCCAGAAATGCAATTGCTGAATCAAATGACAATTCTATATTTAATTGGAAAATCACCATACTGTTTTCCACAGCAGCTGCACCACTGTATACTTCCATTAGTAATAAGAGTTCTAATTTCTCCACATTCTTGCCAACACTTTTTCTTTTTTTCTTTTTTTTAATAACAGCTATCCCAATGGGTCTGAAGTAGTATCTCATTGTGGTTCTGATTTGCATTTCCTGTTTAGTGATATTAAGCATTTTTTCATGTGCTCATTGGCTATCTGCATGTCTTCTCTGGAGACTTATCCAAATCCTTTGCCATTTTTAAAATCAAGTTTTTACATTGTTGTTGCATTCTGGGAGTTTTGTATGCTGGATGTGAAGTTCTTATTAGGTATGTGAATTACATGTATTTTCTACAACTCCATAGGTAATCTTTTTACTCTGTTGATAGTGTCCTTTGATGCACAAAATTTTTAAATTTTAATTAAGTCCAATTTGCCTATTTTTTGTTTTGTTGTCTGAATTTAGTGTCATATCCAAAAAATCACTGCTACATCCTAAGAGTTTTATGGTTTTAGCTCTCACATTTAGGTCTTTGATCCATTTTGTGTTAATTTTTGCACGTTAAGGTTGCAACTTCATTCTTTAGCCATGTGGTTTTCCAGCTTTCCCATCACTATTTGTTAAAAAAAAAAAACACTATGCTTTGAATAGGCTTGGCGCCCTTGTCAAAAATCATTTAGCTACGCATGAGAGGGTTTATTTCTAGGGTCGCCAGTCTATCCCATTGGTATGTCTTTATGCCAGAATCACATTGTTTTGATTACTGTCGCATTATAGTTAAGTTTTAAAATCTGGAGGCATAAATCTTCCAATTTGTTCTTTCTCAAGACTGATTTGGTTATTTGGGATTCCTTCAGATTCTATGTGAACTTCAGGATGAGTTTTTCTATTTCTGAAAAACAAAACAAAACAAAACAAAAACCCTAGAATTCTGATAGAGACTGCAGTGAATCTGTAAATCACTTTGGGTAGTGTTGACATATTAACAATATTAGATTTTCCAATCCATGAATGTGAGATGTGTTTCCATTTATTTATGTCTTTATTTAAGCAGTGTTCCACAGTTTTCATTGGACAAGGCATTCACCACCTTGGGTAAGCTAATTTCGGTGTGTTTTAATTCTTTTTGATGCTATGGTAAATTGAACTGTTCTTGTAACTTCCTTCTCAGATTGTTCATTGTTAGTGTACAGGAATGCAACTGATTTTTGTGTGTTGACTTTGTATTCTGCTACCTTGCTGAATTAATTAATTCTAAGTTTTTTGTTCTTGAGACAGTGTCTCACTCTGTCACCCAGGCTGGAGTGCAGTGGCACGATCTCAGTTCATTGCAACCTCCACCTCCCGGTTCAAACAATTCTCCTGCCTCAGCCTCTTGAGTAGCTGGGACTACAGGCACGTGTCACCATGCCTGGCTAATTATTATTATTATTTGTATTTGTATTTTTAGTAGAGACAGGGTTTCACAGCGTTAGCCAGGATGGTCTTCATCTCCTGACTTCATGATCTGCCCACCTCAGCCTTCCAAAGTCCTGGGATTACAGGTATGAGTCACCATGTCTGGCCTGTTACGGTTTTTTTTGGTGTGAAATCTTTAGGGTTGTCTACAGATCATACCATCTGTCGACAGATAGGATTTTACTTCTTACTTTCCAACTCAGATGTCTTATATTTTTCTAGCTTAGGCTAGAACTTCAGTACTGTGTTGAATAGGAATGGTTAAAAGTGAGCATTGTTGCTTGATCTTAGAGGAAAAGCTTTCAGTCTTTCACCACTAAGTATGACATCTACTGTGGGCTTTTCATATGTGGCTTTTGTTATGTTGAAGTAGTTTCCTTTTATCCCTCATTTGTTGAGTGTTTTTAATCACAAGAGGCTGCTGGATTTTCTCAAATGCTTTGTCTGCATCAATTGCGATTATCATCTGGTGGTTTTCCCTTCACTCTGTTAATGTGGCATATTATACTGATTTTTGTATGCTGAACCATCTTGCATTCCAGGAATTGATTTCATTTGGTCATGGTGTATAATCCTTGTAACATGCTGCTAAATTCTGTTTCCTAGTATTGACAATTGTTGAATCAGTGCTCATACGGAATATTAGTCTGTAATCTTTTCTTGTGGTATCTTTGTCTGGCTTCAGCATCAGGGTGATGCTAGCCTCGGAATCAATTAGGAAGCATCCTTCCTCTTCAATTTTTGGGAAAAGTTGGGGTTATTTTCTTGTTTGGTAGAATTCACAAATGAAAATCATAAGGTCCAGTGCTTTCTTTTCCAGGAGAATTCTG